GGGATATCGGGGCGCGGGGGGCGCGTTCCAGGCGCGGGATAAATATAGGTTGGGGCGGGGGGGGGGGTCCGTGACGGGATGTGGAACGGCGCTCGGGCGTCGGCGAGGGCCCGCGCCGCGCAGCCGCAGCCGAGGGCCGTCGCCGCGGGGGTGCAGGCGCGCGCCTCCACGCGCTGGTCCTCCCGCGCCGCGCTGGCGCGCTGTCGAGACACGTTGCCGCCTTGCTCCCGCCGCGGCAGAAGGTCGCATACAAGGCGGGGCGCGCGCGGTCATGGCGGCGGCGGTCGGGAGAGGCGACGGCGGCAACGCACGCGGCCAATCGGGAGGCGTGCGCGCGACGCACGGCGAAAACGGCCAATCGTGTGCGGCGCTTTCGAGGCGGCATGCGAGGGTGGCGAGCCGGGTGGCGAGGGGGCATGCGAGGGGCGCAGTCGCTTGCAGCTGGCAAAACAGCCAATCGTCGGCTTTCGTGCGCATTCGGGCGCATGCGTGCAGTTCCATGCGTGTGCGCCCTGGTATCGCCCTTTCGCCCATTGTGGCCGGATGTTTGTCCCGCGAGGGCAGAAGGGCCCTTCCCAGCCGCCTGTTTGAAAAGCATCCAAATCTGCACACACGGCGCATGAGCACTACCACACGATCCCCGGCGAGATAGGCGTCAACAGACAGTCAAAACCTTATCGCAGCACGGGCGCGGTATCGAACGGCTATGCATTCCCTCCCCCCAACCAATCTTGGGACCCCGCGGGAGAACGCACCAATATAGGTTTCGTGTGTATAAAAGGCTGCACGTGACGATAAACTTCTTTCTTTTTGCAATCCTGCTCTCCTGCCCTGCAGTACCCTCTTTTTCACAGGGCAAACCCTCCCCCTTTCTGCACCCTCTTCTCCCGACTCATCTCCCGCCTCATCTCCGTCATACCCTACAACCTTATTCCAACCGACATACTGTACCTGCATACCTCATACTCTCGTTCTCCATGCAAACCCCATTAAAACAATCTCTCTGATGCCCCACGCAAACTATAAAAAAAAGGTAACCTTTTTGCCTTCGTACCAGCATCCTGTGAATTACCTTTTATTGTGACACTGCAGTGCAGCAATGTCGAACCTTTCCGTCAACCTCCCATTCCTGATCCACATTCCTCCCCCATATGGAAGACTTGATCAACAATAAACATAATATCTAACTATGTATGTAATGTCTTTCTTTAAAACCATTATCCGACACTCTTCTCAACGCCTGTAAACATACTCTACAACTTCACGTCTACCAAGGGTACTCAAACCCCATAGCGTGGCTTTCCATCACTGCCATTCCTGAAAAACAAACAACTCATCAACTACTTGTTCAGAAACCACACTGACGCACAATGCCCTACCAAAAACACTACAAAACACACAAACTCGTCTGCTGCAACTATGCATCCATCCTATCATCTCCTTCTCCAATACTTTCAATGAGAAATGCCTTGCATCACCGAGAATCGATCACATCATACACGCAAGAGCAATGGCGAGTGGAGAGTGGCCCGCAATGCGCAAGCCGAAACACTTCAAACTGATTCCCTTTGCGTAGACACCGATCACCGAAAACTACTACAACAGAAACACGTCAACGCTTGCCGTACAGTCCTATTGCCTTCATCACCTGTTTGCTGATTCCGTTTGGTATCTCCACTTGTCTGCACATCTTGACTTGATTCGTGACCGACAAACTTCTACATACAACTCGTCTCTAAGAAGGTATGTATATCCCCAGATATGCCGCAAACTTTCTTTGTAATCATCCTCGAGAATCAACTTGCTGCATCGTTCTGCGCGGTTGATGCGAGGCGTGCATATTGTTATGCCTCTTAAACTTTTTTCGTATGAACACGTTTTGCCTTGCCTATTGCCACCATCTTGATTCACTTCTTAGAGAAGGTACGAAACTATATTTATTTTTGATTTCCATAGGCCACCATTGTATCTAATGAAAGATGAGAAAAATAAAACAGGCTGTATATTCTTCTCCGCCAGTCTCTTGCACCTGTCCTCTCTACATACTGCACTCACGCTGTCTCGAGACCTCTATATATATATGCATGAACGCATTTAGATAGGGTTTATGCCAACTTAGCCATTTTACAGGGATCATGCAGGCATATTGAGTGAAGCATTATACTTTCTCACCAAAACAACCAAAAAGAAAATGGGCCCGCTGTTGTCGCATATGAGGAACAAAGCCTTTCAGGATTGCCATGTGGTGCCCTCTCCATAATGCCGGAAGGTATGTTTGTTCAAGAAAGCTGGCCATAGAGTGATCATGCTGTCTCTTCTCAAAGGGGAAAAATTGCGGTGGCGTACGCGTTCTGTTCGCGGCTGGCAACTAACAAACGTTTCCGAGGCGACAACTTTTTCTCTTTTGCCCACTGCATCTCGTTTCTTCTTTTTTATTCCCTTCGAGAGATTGGTATGGAGTTGCTCTGAATATCGCCTATCTCGACGAGCGAGAGGGGATAACCAGTTTGGCCTACAACGAGTTGTGGGTAAGCGGGTAGGCTGTCGTGCATCGGAGGTTTGTATAGAGCCAAGATAATGTCAACAAGTTATGCAGCCGGCTGTGGCACGGGAGGAGTGCGTTGCTGTACTGTACATGAAACGGTTTCGTGGACACGTGGTATAACACGTGTACACGAAAATCGTATTGTGCTCTGCCCACGATTGGCGGGAGCAACAGTTTTGGCGCCAAATACTCAGAAAGTATACCTTTGAGCTTGAGAATGGTCAGCAATGATTTCGGTCAGTGTCCGTGAGCATGCCTCGACATCTGTTCCCTCAGGTACGGGTCAGCAGTGAGTTTGCGCAGTGAGGCGGCCGACGCCCACGAGTTGCGTGTGGAAGAAACGAACATCTGCTCGGTGGCTTGCTTCCTCGCATTCTCTGAGGGTTGGCCTCGGGTACGTTTTCCTGTCGGGTCTCCCCCTGAGGTGTGTGTCGAAGAGTGACAGTCATGCCTCGTCGCGGTCGCTCCCAGGACGACCTAGAATCGAAGCTGCCAAAGCGCGCTCGCCTTGACCTGTCCTATGCAGATGATGAGGACGAAGACAGAATCGAACCCGCGCCCCCCCGCGCGAAGCGCGGGCGACAAAGTCGTCAACTGCCACAGAATGAGGACGAGGATGACATCAAGAGCGTTTCTCAGCAGGGAAATGCCACTTCATATGCATACGGAAGCCGTCCCTCTACGCAGCGAGGCGGCGCGAGGGTGGTTCCGTCTGATGGCGAGGGTGACGAAGGGACAGATGCTGATGATGGTAATGACGATGACGAAGAGGACGAAGAAACTGTTCAGCAGCAGATTCGTTTAAGCACAGAGAAAGGATTTGCGCACTCGGGCATCTTACATTCGGTTCGTCTTGACAGGTTTATGAGCCATACTTGCTTTGAATATATGTTGGGACCTAATATGAACATCATCAATGGGAAAAACGGTTCGGGCAAGAGTGCCATCGTTGCTGCGCTGCAAGTTGGTCTCAATGGGAAAGTGGGCATCACGGAGAGGGCAAAGAAATTGGAAGAGCTTATCAAGCACGGTGAGGATAGCGCAATCATCACCATCAAGCTCCTCAACCGCAAGCCACCACAGACTGAAAACGGTGTCGTTGAAGCAGACCTCACGTACAAGCATGATGTCTACGGTGATATCATCACCATTGAACGCCGTATCACAAAGGGTACCTCCCCGAACTCGTTTGCGGTGAAGGCCAAGAATAAGCATGTCAAGCTTGAAGAGGGTGTCACGACCAAGCAAGAAGTCCAGAACATCTGTGACCACTTCGGAATCATGGTAGAAAATCCAGTCGCCATCCTCACGCAAACCAAGAGCAAGGAGTTTCTTGCGAAGGGCAAGCCTGAGCAGCATTTCAAACTATTCCAGAAAGCGACATTGCTTGGTCCACTTCAAGATGAGCTCATGAACACCAAAATTATCACCAAACAAGTGGACAGCATGCTGAAGAGTAACGTGGAAAAGGCTCCTGAAGCGGAAGAGAAGGTGCGCAAGAAGGAGGAGGCCCACCAGCAAGCTCAAGAGATGATGAATATTGATCAAATAATCCGCCAAGCTGAATCAGCATTCGCATGGACATTGCTGCAGGAAGAAGAAATCAAGCTGCACAAGTATGAGACTAAAACTGCTCAAGAGTTCGAACCTGAGGCGGAAGCTGCACGCGTGGCTCTCGAAAAATTGCAAACTAAGCTTGATGGCCTTAAAAATGAACAGATAGAACACAACGAAAAGCTACAGGAGGCGACGGAACGATCATCGCATCTGTCAGTTTCATGTCGCGATTTCAAGAGAAAGGCCCAGACTATTAAGTTCGATATAGAGCGTCAACGACGAAGAATCCAAGAGTTTGAGGCTGACAGGGATAAATACCGACGAGATATCAGCAATGCGAACACCCGGATGGAGTCTGCCCGTGAGAAGCACTTTGCCGGACAGGAGCAAAAGTCTCGCATTGTGCATGAAATAAAACAAATAGAAGCAACAATAAGTGGTCTGCAGGAAAAGATCGATTCAAGCCGAAAGCAGGAATCGTCCCTACAAGCAGACAGATTGCCACTCGAGGATGACATTCGTCGCTTGAAAGGCGAAGGCAACTCACTGACGGCGGAATTTGAAGGAAAGCGAAGGCAGCACATGCAGATTGCTTCCCTTGCGCGGAACAAAGATGACCTGGCGAGGTTCGGAGATGGGATGTCACATATATGCGACCAGATCTCACGCAATCAACGTAGGTTTCACCGGGTTCCAATCGGACCGATTGGCCAGTTTGTGAATATACAGGATGAGTCTTGGGCGGCTGCTGTAGAAATTGCTATTGGCTTCAACAGTCTCCGAGGCTTTATCGTCATGGATTCCCATGATGCCAAGGTCCTAGAAGGGCTTCTCCCTAGAGGTGGACACAGACCCAGCATTACCATCGCGGATGTAGGACGGGATCGCTATGCTGTTGGTCGAGAAGACATGCCAGACGTGTCATCTTACGGTCACAAAACGATTCTTGAAACTGTGGAAATTCGACACAACGCTGTTTTCAACCTTCTCCTCGACCAGAGCCACATTGAACGTCAAGTGCTCAGTGCGACGGAAGATGATGTTACCCAGCTGGGATGGAGTCGTATCCCAAATATGAAGATGGTCTGGAACAAGCGATGCGACAGGGCTTACTCAAGAAATGGTTCAAACGTATTTCGCAACGGGCATCGCCCAATTGCAAGGATTCTCACAAAGGATATGAGGCCATATTTAAAGAGCTTGGACGAGGAATTGAACAACCTTAAACGAGAGCTGAGTACTCACAAGGCATCAGTGCAGGACGCAGAAGTCAGACTGCGTGATCTTGACTCTTCTGTGCGCAGCGTACGTTTGGAAATTGATCGCTGCGAAAAGCAGATAGCCGATCTCAGTCGGAGAAGGACTACCCTTGAGGACCAATTGAGCCAAGCTGAAAACGCATTCGATCCTACGCCCTTTGAGCAAGAGATCTCCGGGTACGAAGCTCAGATGCAGGAGAGTGAAGCAAGTCGTTCTCGAGCGTTATCGGAAATTGTTGCACTAGAGGACGCGCATGTCAAGGCTTCGGATGAAGCCAGCGAAGCTTCAAAAGCATTGCGCCAAGCGAACGAAACCACACAAGAAGCAAGCAGCAAGCTGGAGGTCGTTCATGATCAAATGGCCCGAGTGAAATCTAAAAGCCGTCAGCGCCGCACAGAGCACATCCAGGCTCAAGACAAAGTCTCTAGGGCCCACCAAGAGATCGATTCTCAGAAGGGCAAGGTGGCCGAAACCATGGTACAGGCGCGAAATACTGGGGATTGCCCTGAGAATATCGACCCAAGTGTCAAATCGTCTAGCGCATGGGGTCGATATCTCACAACCCAGAAACGAAGATTGGAAACAGAACAAGAGCGACGCGGAGGGCGCACAGCGGGTGAAATAGAACTTGACTACCTTGAGTCAAAGAAGAAGCACGATGAAAACGTCCAGTTCCGCGAACGAGTGAAATACTATGTCAAGATGCTCAAACGTGGCACGAACTACAGAGAAGATCTTCTTATCAAACTTCACAGCAGTCTGAAGAAAATGGTCAAAGCCAACTTCAGGAGGTTCTTGAGTACCCGTGGGCACTCGGGATCAATTTCATTTGGGAAGTCGACGGGAGGTGTTCCAACACTGCGGTTAAGCACGGAGATGGGTACGCATCAAAAAGTAGATGGAGAGAGACATCGCACTGATGACCTACGTACGCTAAGCGGTGGAGAGAAGAGCTACACAACTCTTTGCTTTATCCTGGCGTTGGCAGAGATATGTCAAACTCCTATTCGCGTCATGGATGAAATCGATGTGTTTCAGGATGAGGCTAGTCGGCACGCTTCATTTACAACGATCACACAGTTTTGCACACAATACCTCTCAAATCGGCAGATCATTATTATCACTCCACTGGCGCTGCCGAATTTCACATCGAATGAATCTGTCCGTGTTGTGAGGCTCCCCGATCCTCTACGACAAGAAGGCAGAGGGCGCCAGACGATCATGGACACCTTCATGGGGGAATCCAACGAGTAGGCTGTGTAAGTTGTGTATTAATTTTAGAGCTGCGGCGTTGCCATAAAAGCTCAACAAGGTTTGCCACTTGTCCCAATGCTAGTCAGAAGGTAGCGAAACAAACTGGATCGTGTTCCTCGCTCCTCGCACCTTTCCCCATCGTCCAAGTCTATGCTCATTACCTACAGCCACAGCCATGATCCCATGCTTTGCCCCAACTGCAATACTGTTGACAAACCCGGGTCCGACGTCCAGCTCCCCCACACTGACTAGCTTGGGCACATCTTCGCACTTCCAAAACCTGACTTTACCATCCCCGCCGCCAGAAGCCACTAAATCCGTATTCCGAAACGCAGCCACAGCCGAAATCCAGGCCTCACAGCCCAATCCCCCACCATGCGCCTTCTCGATCGTGGCCGTCGGCTTTTTCTTACTCTGCTGCCATAAGCACACGGTGCCATCATCCCCGCCAGATACAAACCTTTGCTCACTCAACATAGCAACGGCATCAATCGATAGCGTCATCGCTCGCCTGAACACCAACTGAGATCCCTCCACAACCTTATACAACCTGAGGGTGCCGTCCTTCCCACATGACAGGGCCCTCTCTTTCGTCAACGAATCCACAGCATTGACTTCCGCGCCATGCCCGAACAAGGTCTCCACGTACGCCATATCCTCCATATCCCATACCTTGACCGTACGATCAGCCGAAGCGGAAAACAGCTGCCTAGAATTCTGGCGAAATGCCAAGCCGGTGACCTGTGCCCTATGCCCTCGCAAGCACTCGACCGACTTCCCCACGCGGGTATCCCAGACCCTGACGAGCGCGTCGCTGCCGCCGGACACGGCCATCCTACCGTCGTCCGTGACTGCGACGGCCAGGACGTTGCCCACGTGCGCGTCCACGCGCGCGGGGTTGCGGCGGCCGCGCGCGACGTCGACGGGCTTGAACGTGTGGGCGCGCCTGCCGGTAGCGACGTCCCACACTATTGACGTGGGCCGTTCTTGCCGCCGGACACCGCCGTGGC